ATTCCTACCAATATGACAGAGTTGCGAAAACCAGGTCAAACAACTTCTATTAAACGAAAGGAGACTGCGACCACACAAAAAGCCACACCATCTTGGTCTTTATACCTTCGATTTAACTGATGGATAGATCATCTGATACATAGACAAATACATAACAGTTTTCCATATTTCTCACATCTTTTACACGGTTGCTCCCCTTACTTCGTCGCGGCAGTTTATGCTTTGGTCTCGAATTTACAATGGCAACTTTCGACTCAGCGGCCGGTCATGCGACTTCGATGCGGACGGGTCAACGGGTTAGAGGTAGCCGGATCATGCTGATGATGCTTGGGGCCACATCTAATGGAGGCAGTGGCGCTGTCAGCGCTAGTAGTGAAAATGGCGCAGTTGAATGTTCAGATGTATGTGGTTTTGGAAGAGATAGTGCCGAAGTCAGCCATCCGGGCACGGGGGAAGTTGTGTCATCGTGTGCAATTGGTTCCGCTAATGCTGAGCTGGCTGGTGCCAATAATGGGTCCTTGGCTCAGAGTGGAAGTTCTTTCAACTTGGGGCCTAGTGTTATATTGCCGAGAGTACAGCGAAATGTTCTCAAGTGCCCCTTTTGTCTAAAGGTGAGCAAAATTATTCAAAACATTATTAAGGATGTATGCATATGCGTTTTTAAAAGTGAGATTAATAAATACATCATCATTCAAGTAGGCCAAAAATACTTTGGATATTATGAGTCTAAGAGAAGAGGAAACACTAATGTGATGTCAAACAATTCTGGCTAAAGTGGTCTGTTTAATCTTCCATTTCCTTCTGTATTCACAATATGAGGTTCTTCTTTCTTTTATCTTCGAATTTATCTTGTTTTCAGTATACGTAATATGTTTTGCTATTCCCGATCTTTCGGTATCCGTTTTCCTACAATGGCTTTTAAATTCCTTGGTTCGTATGCTCATATTTATCCCTGTTTCGCTAATATATCTCTATTTGCAGACGCTGCATGCGGTAAACTCTCCAGTAATCCAATTTGTTTATTCTCTCATGTTGTAAAAAGGATATGCTTGGATCAAGGACTTATCGTTTCAAGCAAGTAGCGAGTGAATACCATTCGGAAATCAAACGAACACGTTTTCAGTGAGTTTAGTCTGCTCCAACTAACAACTACAACTTTAGGGGCCTGGTTGTCTCAAGAATAAGGGGACGGATAATCACAACCGTTGGTCAGAAAGTTGATTAGGGGGCTAACTTTATTTCTGGCGCGTTGTAGTTTGGTGCTAAGACTGGCAAGACTCATTAACGATGCTGTTTGAATGTGTGAAAATGTACTAAGTCCACGGTCCAATTCTGGGAATTATCGTAAGTACTATAGCAGATGATTTCGGGGGATTGCGTCTAACTAGGTCGCCCTTTCATCGCAACAAAATTTCGAAAACCAGCTCTGATTAATTCTATACAGCGAAAGGAGACTGCGACCAAAACAGAGGCACAACTTTTTGGACTTCATATTCATTATTTTTCTAATTAATTTATTTTTACTCTTTACAACCATCATTGAACGAAATTTAATTCACTCTTCGCACATTAAATCATCATAATATTTTATCTATTATTTTGGAAAATAGCTTTTACTCTATTCTTAACAATTTTAATCTCTAAGGTGGAATTAATCTCTTATGTCATGTTATGTTGCTCTCATATTGCCTTCCTTAAGTGTAAAAACGATATTTGAAACAATCAAAATGCTTATGCAATTTTTGCTTATATACGAATACATGTATATGCATAACTCCACTTGCATTGCAGCCCGGCTTTCGATGACACAAATCCAACATAAACTATAAACCTTGATGTTGCCTCACAAATATTTAGATAATTTTATGAAGCATTATGTAATCATAGCTATTTTACTTAGTCCTTCCTTTGTGGAATTATGCTTATCCTCACTAATATTGGTAGACTTTTGATGTATTGAGATTCTCTTAATTATTTCAATCTCCATTACTCATTTTGTTTCTCTGAGAGTATGTCGGAGATATTTATAGCCTCCTCAAGAATGTCTTGTAGAGAGTTTATTTCAAATGGAAGCTAAAAATTTAATCGTTTATTCAGGATTGCAGTGGCTTTATAACTAAGAGGACCCGAAGATAACTTCGCCACTTTACCTCTAGCGTTGCATGGATTAGTTGGTTTACCATTTCGGAGACCACATCATCTGTGCTGGCTATCTTGAATCTACTCTCACCACTTTCGGCAAATACATATATAAACAAATTAGAATAGAAATTCGAGACGTTACCGCTGTTACCAAGACTGCTCGTGCTGACTACTTTGCATTTTGGTCACATTGAAGATACACTTTTGATGAATTACTCAGGCTTATAAGCCAGATTTATTAAAGGGGAATATTGAAAATGCACGTAGAGAAGGATGGTTGGCTACCTCTTATGGATGTATAAATCATTCGCTTAAATGGGACGACATTCAGGAGAACGTCGCATGCAGTTTTCAGTCTCATCACGACTATAGACGGAAGATAGGAATGATGAAGACCATGATTATAAGAAGTCTAAGGCTAGCGTACATTGAATTCTGGGGAAAGAATTAATCAAAATTGCTTTTTCATAATGGATACCTAATAAAAATCATGCAAAGAGGCATATGGGCCGTGAAAAACCTATGCCATGGTGAGGAT